TCGGCGTGTACAACCAGCTCGTCCCTAGTTCAATCACCTCGTTCGACACGTGGTGGGCGAGGTGGCTGGCCTGACACAGGCCCGTAACACTATGTATGAATTTAATAAAATGTTAAAATGATAGGATTTTACCATTTACCTGCACATCTAGTGAAAACCCGTAGATATCATATTTGCACTCAATCCTCGAAGCCTTCGTCGGATGCCCCTCTTAAAAGCATGATTTGTACTATAAAGCACCTTCCACCTTATGGATATATTTTGCATAAATCAACATCGTCTCCTATATCCAAAAATAGATCAACACGTTCACAAAATAAAATATTTTGTCATGTGGTGTTTACATCTCAACACGATCTCCAACATATGAGTCCGAGCTTGTATATATCATTCGTATCCATCAAATGCAATTTGCAACTTCGCGGGATTAACCATAGACATGCCTCCAAAAATTTCAATCAATAGTCTTTTTGTCCAAAGATTTTTGTACCTGATTTCTTCTTCATTATGAGAATTTAGTCCTAACAAGGGTAAACTCGAATATTGAGAATCGATCCACCTTTTATATACCAATCGAAACTACAGTTCGTCAATGTTGACTGAAATAAATAGTAGAAGAAACAAACTACCGATGATCTGGTCGAAGAACTTCACACACCTTACGTGAAAGAATTTTCGTAAACATGAACGGTGCATGGCGCAACTGTTCTTTATGATCGTCATCTAGAGCATCTAATTCTAATGTTTTGAGGTTACAATTAGAAATCACCTTCCCCGAAAAATCAACTTATACTAATGTCAATAGCATACTCCATCCTTGAAAAAGTAAATTTAAGAATAAGATCAATTAAGCAGAGTCTATGAAATTGATTTCCTAACCGAACGTAAGGGATCGTTGAGGATTGACCCAAGTAAATTGGCAAGTAGAAGGAAGGTGGGGTTGGTTGGAGGAGAAAGAATTTTTTTTAAAAATTATTTTAGTTTGGACTTGTTTGCACTTTTTAAAATATTTGAGATTATGACTGCAATTAATTTCTTTTTTTAATTGATTTGTTTTGTTTATTTAAAGAGGAAGTTAATCCATCATTTATGGTTTAAAAAGCTACAAAAAAGTTGTATTCCGCAAAGTCTAGCTGATTTACAGAAATTTTGCATCAAAATGAAGGATTCGAAAATATTACACAAAATATATAAACGTCAAGGCGTATTGTGCCAATTTCCCATTTTTTTAGTTCGCCTTATTTATGAAAAGTTAAGTGAATTTTTTTTCCTTGATTAAAAGTTGATATGTAATTTTCATTTGCTTATAAACCATGTAAAGGAGCTAAATGTTTGATTAGCCATTGAACTTTGATACATGTCAGAACTTACTCACTATCTTTTAAAATTTATCTCATTGGCCATTCAACTGTATTTTGTCCAACTCCATTGGCCACCAGATGGAAACCGTTAGTAAACTTGCCCACGTGACTAACGGTAAGGTGACATGCCACGTTAAATTGTTAATAAGATGCCACGTCAATGCCAAAGTAGGCAATGTTAAACTTGCCTTTAACTTTAAATGGCAAATATAACACGCTTCTTCATCATCGATGATAAAACCTTTGCAATTTCAAGGTGAAGATTTGTCGCGAATTCTCAAGACATTTGCTCAAATAATGTGTTCGATGTCAATTGAAGTATTTATTTCGAAACTTTATTTGCAGTGCTTATATTGAATTTTTTTAGATTTCTTCGTGTTTCTTCTCGTAATGATACTGTTGGCAATGTAAAACATATTAATCATACAGAGACCAATATATTAATTTCCTTGGGTATGCTCCAAAAATTCATCACTATCAAGGCTTTTGGCACTTAACAGGTAATTAGACCAGAACAAACATCCTGCCTGTGGAGTTAAAGAAATAAAACAAATTTTATTAATGCCCTCAGTTACTGTGTAATAAGTGATAAATTATTCACCTTCGAACTAACAAAAATACATCTAAGAATTGCCTTATGTGATCATTTAATCATAAATCATAGCTTCATCATAGCATATACAAAAACTGGTAACATCATGGAAATTGTAAGTCGGCATTAACATAAATTATGCAAGCTGCTGCAATAAAAATTTGAACTTACTGTCTTTACATTGCATTGCACATTAACATTAGCATGCATGTTTTTTGTCATCTTTGCTGCTCTTCTTTTCCGTGCCCTTGCCGCTCTTAGCTTCGACAATTCATTCGCATCCATTTGGTGTAATTCATCAACCATTTCTTTAAAATTTACTTCGGTTGGCACATTATCCTCAACGGAATAACCAGGTTCATGTTGATCACGAATAGGCATCATCAATGCTTGACCGGGTGTAACACGACCCCTTTCTACTTTGCGTGCAACCATTGGTGTAGGCATGAAATGGAAAGAACTCTCCTGTGCGATGTTATTTGCTGGAGATGCACCATTTCCTCCAGTGGCAACCATGTCACCCTTACATCGCATTGAAAGAGAGGTTTCAAGATGCTAATAAATGCCAGCAATATATCACTAAGCAGGATTCCAACAAGCAAAAAAGAGATCTATCAAGTGCCTTACATATCCATACTATGGGAACATTATAAAACCAACATATAAGAAACTCACTCTTTAATACAAGAGACAAGTTATATAAGGATATTTGGTAGGTGGTTCTTGATTATTAAATAGTCATGAGTTGGACTGTTATACTAAGTAAAAATACAACAAATTGAAGAAACTCGAACACACCTTATAAATGCATGACATACATGATTAAAAATCATAATAAAATTCGAGAATTCAAGCATTAAACGTTTAACGTTCCCCTTTATTCACGTGTGTCACATTGTGTTTCAACAGGTTCCAAATCGCCTTCAAACCAATCATGTTCAAAGGAAAAATAGTCAGACATTGTTATATTATATTCGAAATGCATAATTAGACTAGTGTTACTTACATCTAACGGAGCATCTGGCCTAGATTGGTATGCGCCCACGTAGTCCACAAACTGAGCAAGTCATCTTCAATTGTCCATTTTTTTCTCATGTATGTTTTATCCTATGAATTCACTATCACCTCTTCATCTACCTCCTTCCTCCTATTTTTTTTGCCTCTTTTCTTTTACGGAACAACCCATGACGGGGGAATGATAGCAACCATGTACAACAACTATGACCATTGACAAAAGTGGTTTCTATACTTATTCGGGGTCTTAAATGGTGAGATTTTGTTATTCTTTGGACAGACCAGTGCATAATGTATTATTTATTGCTTTTGTTAAGAAAAACTCATATTTGGACGAAGAATTGAAAGAAAAAACTGAAAAGGGCAAAAATGAAGCAAATTCTAGGTTTGGGGACTAAAGTGCAAATATTCAAAAGTTGTGATGGATCTCACGATGGAAATTCGAGATTGCTACGTGTCAATTGGATGAGAAAAGAAGCCAAGAGGATGAAATATAGTCAAAGTATTATCAAACACCAAATTCTAGTCGAAAGAGTCCTGCTCCGAATTTTTTCCTTCAGATTAAAGCTCATTTTGGGCATAGAAAATATTCGAAATGGAAAATTATATCTAAATAATAATTGTAGCCTTTGAATGAGCTCTACAATGCACTTAGAATCGCCTCCATCGAATATCGGGAGAGAAAATTATGATAAATATACTGAACGCTGCTCAGGACAAGTCTAGGCGTGCCTAGGCTTGCAGAGGAGGCACGCGCCTCCTCCTGTACTGAGACCTCCTGAGGCACCCAAACAAGCCAGGTATGTGCCCTAGCTATGCCTAGTCCTTGCCTCAGTGTAAAAATAGGAAAAATCTGATTTTTCTTTTTTTTTTGTTTTTTGGTAACACTTCAATGCAATCTTTTTGACACCAAAACTAGACCAGAACGTGAGAGACCTCCCTAAATATAAAAATTCTTAGATTCAACATAGTTTGGAGGCGAACGACAAGGTGCAAACATCAATCAAAGACAAATTTTACAAGTTTATTGAAGATCCTTAATCCAAAGTCAAGATTCAAGCCAAATTTTTTCATTATTTCTTGATTCGAGTGATTTCTTTTCATTATTTCTTGTATAGTTTAATAATTAGGATGCTTAGTTAGGTTTTTAAATTTTATTCGATAAATGTTTGAACCATATTTTCATTTATTTCAATTCAAGTCTTTAATTTAGGAATTTCGTGTTATCGTTTGATTGATTTCACATACCCATTGCACTATTTATTGATTGATCACCAATTAAGTAGTTAGTTGTTTGTTGTAATATAAGAATTCTCGCAATGAGTTTAGAACGAGGTAAAATCAACATGTTTAGTTAGAATTATGAATAATCTATTTCACACATGCAATCTTATTAATAATCTAAACTAAATCCGTGACTTTCATATAAATTCGAATTGGGAATATGATCGTCTCGTGTTAGTCATAAGTTGATGTATCTTGAAAAAGAACATTTAACATATTAACTTTATAATTAAAAAAAAAAAAAAAAGGAATACATGAATCCAATACAAGCATTCACATTAGATTTAATCACTTTTTATAGCTTTCTTATAATAGAATTAGAACAAATAACAAACAAATTACAACTCTTTTGAGGTCACCACACTTCGAATTTAATAGTAGTAATTGAATTACAAATTAAATCTTATTCATCGTGGGAACGATATTCTATGTTATCATAGCACCTCATATAACTATCAACATATTCTTTTGGATCATTCCTACTTTCTCTTATCACTAAAACTGCATGCATGCACGGTATGCATGTAAACTCCCACTCTCTACACACACAACTCCATTCTAGTAGATCAACATCATATGTGTCAGAGCTACATTCTACTTGCCATTTCGGCTTGCCGATAAGTGCAATGTGTATTCACGTGAGAAGTCAATATTTTTGTGAGGCTTTCTTCTAATTTTTGGACACAACCTACTAGTGCATCTCATCATCGTGTCTCTACGCTTTCTAATTCTTATCATAAAGTTCAGTTGAATTGAAGTGAGCATCGTCAGAATCATCTTCTCCCTATCACTCCTCAAGGTCTTATTGAACACTTCACATCAGCAATATGTTGCTCTTTGCATGAAGAGAAATGTGATCTGCTCCATTCTTGTGGAGGCCTCTCCATTGCGATTTATATGCTTCTTCACTAGTGTTACGAATTTGCAACATCCAATGTTTATAGTCAGGGATGGAGGTTGACTTTGCAGCACGCCAAAGATAATTTTTTGAAGTCTTTTCCTTGAATTCCATATTAAAAAAAAAACTTGTGCACATGTTTCGTACGCATAATCTTTGATCGGCATTAGGAAACAACTCATTTGTCACATTTTGTCGACCTTTTTACATGTTCGTCATCAAGTCCATTTACTGTCATTTCCAATATCAATATCATCTACAAGATAGTTCATAAACCATCGCTAGGTTGGTGTTTTCCTTTTGAACAATGGCGTAAGCAATAGAGTAGATGCAGTCATTATCGTATAGGCCAACTGTAGTCAACAAATTTAATCTAAAATAAGACCTCAAATGACAACCATCAACACCAACAACCTTCCTGCAACCATTTCTAAAACTTGTCTTCGAACCATTGAAAAATATGTAAATCCCGTCATACATTTGCTGCTGCAAAGCTATTATGACAGTGGAACCAACATTTGTCTGGAGTACCTCGATTGCTTAAGACCTCAATCGTTCGAACTGGTTTTGCATAGTCCCGACCAACACTTCTTTAGCATACCTTTTCATCTTCCATGCAACATTCGCTAAAATTAGCTCTATTTTTCGGTTAGGGTCCATTTTGAACTACTCGACGTAACATGTGTCAAAAACTTGTAGTTGCAATGTGTACTATATTGGTCCTGACATGTATGATTCGATGTGTATGATTTCACCCATAACGTGTTAGTGTCATCAACTGAGGAAGCTCAGATCCTCCATTTACTCCCAAGTTTGCATACACCATGTACTCGTCTCTCCTCGTTCGTTGTAAACTTTACATTATATACGTTCAATGCACCACAAATTCTAACTGCCTCTTTGAACTCGACTGCTGAACTAAAAATTTGTCAGAACACAAATTGTGGGTTATTCATATTTGTCTCGATAGAAAATTTAGGAAATCAAAACCCACCCTCGTCATCTGATGAGCACTGTAACAATAACACCACGTGCAACTGATATTCTAAGTCATCTACTTCCATACCATTGCCCTCTTTCCGTTCATCTTGAACTTGACTGTGGCTATTCAACCCCATTTCGATACCATTAGTCACATTCTGGCCATACAATATGTCGTCTTTGTCCTTCAATTCGTTCTCAGAATCAACGAAATCTGAGTCATCCTTCGATATTGTCACAACATTACACCATAAACCATTAGAAAATTCTCATTACACATCTATGCAGAGAATTATTATGAACACTTAAATGGAGGTAACGGCTTATATCATGCAGTCAAATTTTATTTTTTTTATATCTGTGTTCATAATTATCCTGAAATAAAAAAATAAAAAAATTGCATTAAATCCCAAAAAGCTAGAAATATAATGCGTGAATCAAATGTTTTCTACTAAACCGTGAAGACAACAGTAGAGTTCAAAATCCAAGTTTACCATGACAATCAAAAACAAATTAAAATTATTCTACTCTATCTTAATCATTTGATTAAAATTGCTTTAATCCCGGAAAGCTAGAAAAAATGGGAGCTTTATATTGTGTGTGTTCATAATTTGCAAATTTTTGGTCATTTTCTTATCATTCGCCAATTTTCTAGAGACCAAGTTTTACTCTTTATCACAAATTTCAACTGCAGAAGCTACAATGTCAACCACATTTCTTCGTGAAAATAGTGTAAAATATTGTTTTTGAATTACTTTCAAGTGGTCCCTCCATATGCAAGCCTTCCTCGATTCAACACTTCAACTAATTCGCAGGGCCTTCGAGCGTGGGGTAGTATCGATTGGGGGTTAGGGTTTCGAACAAGATTGGGGTGTACCGATGGGTTCCTCTCAGTTACGGGTTAATTCATTTCGAAGGTTGAAAAAGACGTGTTTTGGTTTGGGAATGGATAGCGAGATAATCTCTCTTAAGGCTAAAGGCATGTTTGGTTAATGCTTTTGGCACATGAGTTAATTTTAACGTGCCACGTCAGAAATCCATTAACCATGTAGGTAGAGGTGTCAAGACGGACGGGCCAGCCAGACCTGTGAAAATCGGCTCGGATCAACCCGGGACCGCAGGCCGACCCGTGACCCAGCGGGCGGTTCATGGGTCAAAAAGGTGTGACCCACGGGTTTCACGGGTTGCACATTTACGGGCCGTGGTTAACCCATGACCCGTTGAAAAAAAAATTTAAATTGAAAAAAAAGGGATTCTAAGCATAATAGCTCTAGTACAACTTCTAAAGGCAAGTTTTTTTTTTTCTNTTCATCTACAACTTTAACTGCAAATCCAAATACCACACCTGCTGAATTAG